GACTGCCATCTGAGGATCACAAGCAATTGCTTGTCTTTGTGGCTACAAAAGCTTACCCAGAGAAAGGGATGCTCTAACTCTGGCTTCACCTCTAACCACGTCTGGCATCGAGTCCATCAGGAAACTAGGGCCTCAACAGGAAGGAAAACGAAGTCAAAACATTTTAACCGGCTGAGGAGGGGGATCTAGACTGCCCTAAAACTGTTCTGTCAGAGTTTTTCCATAGAAGTTACTGTAAGTATTTCACAACGAACAGAGAACAAAATGGGAGGGAAGATCCCTGTCTTCAGAAGCCTTTCCTGATGGCTCCAGTCCAAGTTTATCTTCCCCCCACTGACTTCTGCACTTGTTATTTTCGCTGCCCAATTCGTTTTTCAATATATATTATCTCATTGTCTTTGATGAGCAATTTAGTACTTTGTTATATGTTACGAGAACAATTACAGCTGAGTCTAAATTCCTTGAATTCAGGGAAATGACTTAGGTTTAGGGCTCAGTACACCATCGGTATCATCAAACAGTTCTGCAAAAATACGTTCCCGTCCACGTGTGTGTGTACGACCTATCAAACACACGCACAGCAGAGGAACAGTACACTACTAAGACCACGGCTTCTTCACCACCCAGGATCATGATGACACAGTCATGTTTTCCCTTCAAGTTCACACATGTGAAAAGAGTGTATCAAAGAGATTTTCACACAACACTCAATACGGTTCTCAAACTCATGCCACTGAAAAGAAACACGAATATACACTGTCATAGTCATACTGACAGATTCGCCCAAAAATGTATTTTTTTAATTCTTTTGCACATATTACATTTTTGAGAGCTATGTGTCCAGATCCATATTGTTGTTGTATACTATGGAGTTGATGCCGCCTCAGAAGAACTCTATAGAACTGCCTCATAAGGTTTTCTAGGCTGGAGTCGCTGGGTGGATTCCAACGTGGCACTGTGGGCTAATATGTCAGACTGCGAAGTCATTTGAGCTGCAAGATCAGTGGTTCAAGCTCACCAGCTGTTCCTTGGAAACCCTATGCAGGGTCGCTATGGGTCAGAATCGACTCTTAATAACAACAACCACCTTTCCCTTAGCAGCTGAGTGCTTGACCACTGTATCACCGGAAATCCTGGTTCCATATTTGATGCATGGATGTCAAAGACAGAAAGAGGCAGCCTTGCTTCTAAGTAAACAGATAAGCCCACTGCAATGTAGTACCTGCCACACTGCAAGTACATATTTATACAAGGTGAGTTGGGTTACCGAAAGAGTCTAAATCTTCCTGAAGGTCAAGTAACCCTTTACAGAGTTACAGGGGAAAAGAAGATCAATATGGGGGTGAGGGACCCTAGTAGTGTCGTGAATTACAAACTGGGCTGCGAACCGCAAGGTCAGCAATTAGAAACTACCAGCTGTTCGGCGGGAGAAAGATGAGGCTTTCTGCTCCAGTAAAGATTTAAAGCCTTAGAAACCCTGTATAGAGTCGCTATGAGTCGGAACCGACTCCACAGCACATAACAACAACAACAGTTGCTCCATGAGAGAAAAAAGAGGCTTTCTACTCTCATAAGGGAGTCCTAGTGTGGCGCTGTGGGTTAATGTGCAGGACTGCAAAGTCAGTTTGAACTGCAAAGTCAGCAGTTCAAACTCAGCAGCTGCTCCTCAGAAACCCTGTACAGGGTCGCTACGGCTTGGAACCAATTTGACAGCGTACAACCACCACCATGGGAGAGGTGGAGTGCTAACACTGTTAGGATGCAAGGGTTCTAGTTCAGGAAATCACCAGAGAGGGATTTTTCTTATAGTTTGAGACTCCCTGGGCCCAAGACAGGAAATTTAAATGGCATCCTGGACAATGAACCACAGTCCAGATCCACCATGAGGCTATTGGAAAGGAGGGATAGAGAAGAAAAAAGGAAGGAATTCCTAAAAAGGGAGCCAACTAGCCTTCCCAAAGGAAGGCTGACTGGGGGACCCCAGGTCTGTAGATGGATGTGCTTCCCCCCTTGGAAACGCACACACTAGGAGGAGCACCACTGCTGGGGCCATCTCCCCTGGAAGTGTCTTCCCTCTGGAAATAAGAGCTTTAGGCTGGATCTTAAGGAGGCAGAAAAGTTGCAGGAGATTGTTGTTGTTGTTAAGTACTGTTGAGTCGGTTCCAACCCATAGCAACCCTGTACAGGGTTTCTAAAGAGCAGCTGGTGAGCTTGAATTGTCAACCTTGCAGTTCAAACGGTTTTGCAGTCTGGCACATTAACCCACAGTGGGGAGAAATTTTTACCTGCTTAGTGAAGGGAGTAAAGAAAAGTAATGGGGATAAGAAGAGATGCATTTGAAAAGAACAAGTGCAGGAAATCATGTGGCCAGAGGCGGGCAACCAGAACCCCTTGGGTGCATTTGATAGAGATAACCCAGGGCTGGGAGGTCATGGCAGGGAAGGAGAGAAAGGAATGAACTGGCAGCAAGCTAGAAACAGAAAGATTGATAAGGGTTGTGTGGGAAATGGGAGTGGAAACAGGAAGGGCTTAATCAGACTGTGATTGTATGGAAGGGAGGAGGGTATGTCTGGCTGCTCCAGGAACTAGAAGAGAGTAGCTGGAGACAAGGCTTCAGAGTCCCAGGGCTGGGCCATGGTAAGTGCATTTTCCACAAGGTCAACTTTTCCATGTGGTTACGAATCAGACTGCGAACCTCAAGGTCAGCAATTCGAAACTACCAGCTGTTCTGTGGAAGAAAGATGAGGCTTTCTACTCCCGTAAAGATTTACAGCCTCGGAAACCTTATGCAGGGTCTCTATGAGTCAGAACTGACTCCACGGCACATAACAACAACATAGGGAGAGGTATACACGGTCAAATGCTCGTTCTAAGGAGCTCTGGTAGCGTAGTGGTTACGAATCGGGCTGCGAACCTTAAGGTCAGTGGTTCGAAACTACCAGCCGCTCCGCGGGAGAAAGATGAGGCTTTCTACTCCCGTAAGGATTTACACCCTCGGAAACCCTGTACAGGGTCGCTATGGGTCGGCTCCGACTCGAAGGCACTTAACAACAACAAACAACAAAAGAACGAGCATCATGACCTGGGCTTGGAATTTTCCAGACATCAGTTCTGCCAGTCCAGCTACTTACCAGCTGTGTGTCCTTGACCAAGCTTAATCACTTCTCTACACAACTTTATGGAAATATAAAATGCTGCCTGACCCTTTGCCATTTCCATGAGTGTTGTAACCCACAAGTTTCTCATTGGCTGAGATTCCAGGCCTCTCTTCCTAGTCTGTTTGAGTCCTCTGAAATCTGTTCAGCATCTTAACTACACGTAAGCCTCCACTGACAAGACAGTGGGGGTGGGGCATAAGGTATTGTCCAGAAACTGGGGGCTTATGCATGGAATTTGAGACATCTAGCATTGAACTGCCAAAACTCCCAGCAAGCCTCCTACAAAAGGGATACAAAAAGATCTTCTACATGAAGCTCCTCCAGAAAGCACTTAACATTGGGCCTGGTAAATAAATATATTCAACAAGGGTCAACCATTTTCCTCATTATAATTATTCTATATCGCTAGAAGCACGTTATTCATAGCAAGGATATGAACCTCCGAGACATTGTGTTCAGATCCAGGTCCCTTCCTTATAAGAACAGCACTGACAAACTCTAGTCTGCTCAGTGGAGGAAAAGCATGAAATGTGAGAAAATGACGAAAACTCAAGGTAGTTAGCCCAGGGGAAATTTGGGGACTTGAGGGTGATTATATGAAGAGGAAAGAATCTTCTGAATAACTGTAGGAAGCAGTGCTGGGTATGGTGAAAAGTTTTGGAGACAGGCTGCTTAGTTTCAAATATTCATACCACCTCTTGGTAGAGTTTCTTCACTTTTTCCAAGCCTCAGTTTGCTCATCTATAAAATGGGGTTATGTTACCCACCTCATATGGCTTTTGAAGCACAAATCAATACAGTACCAGAATGTCTGACATATATTAAATGCTCAATAAACGTCCATTATTATGCTGGTATTATTGTTTCACAGCACGAAGTGACATCCCAGTAATTTTTTTTAAATCCCAGCAGTGGACTCCTGGTGTGATGCTGTAAAATAAGCACTGGACTGCTAACTGAAAAGTAGGCAGTTCAAACCTACCAGCCGGTCTTTGGAAACCCTACACAGGATCGCTATGAGTCTGAATCAGAACTGACTCAGTGGCACTTACCAACAACAGCAATGGGAAAATGGGAATGCCTGTCTGTGCAGTATTTGTCTTTACTGGAAGATTTTTTAAAAGTCACTGAAAGTGACTAGTCAGAATCTTTGTAGTGATTTCTCAGCCTAGATGGAGGTAGATTTGACATCTCTGTGGCGCTGTGGGATAAAGCCTAGGACCAAAAGGTCGGTTTGAACCGCAAGGTAGCGGTTCAAATTCACCAACCGCTCCTCGAAAACCCTATGCAGGGTCGCTATGATTCGAACCGACTCGATGGCACTTTAACAATAACAACAAGGTCTTAGGCATCCACTGTGAAGACAAAGAGAAGGCCAAACCGAGAAGGCAGGGTCCGGGGGCCAGTAATGCAATAACTCTAACCGACCTCTAGGGAGCAGCAAAGACCCACCCCGTGTGACTTCATCCAAAGAAAACCATTCTTTTTTTTGAGTTCTTCTTCCAGGATGTTAAGAGTTCATCCACCAACCTTCGGAAAACGCTGCAGTAATCCCGCCTAAAATTGATAATCCAGCCAGTAAACTCGTGTTGTCCTGGGTCGGGGCTGGATCTTGGAGCAGTTCGTGGCGTCCAAAGCCCCGCCCCTCAAAGCGCTCAGCCAATCCTCCGCGGCGGAACAGGACGTAAACGGGAGGGGGCGGTGTCGTGGGAACCACGTGGTCGAGGAGGGGCCAGGGCCAGGTAGGTGACCGGACAAGGGGCGGGCGAGGGGAGAAGTGGGCGGAGCGGAACTGAGCTGGAATCCCCTTGATGACCTGCTTTCCCCTTCCCTCCCCTAGCAATGGGTGTGGAGCCTCCCAACTTCTCGTGGGTGCTCCCAGGCCGGCTGGCTGGGCTGGCGCTGCCGCGGCTCCCTGCCCACTACCAGTTCCTTTGGGATCTGGGGGTGAGGCACCTAGTGTCCCTGACGCAGCGCGGGCCCCCTCACACCGACAGCTGCCCAGACCTCATCCTGCACCGACTGCGCATTCCAGACTTCTGCCCACCGGCCCCCGACCAAATCGACCGCTTCGTGCAGATTGTGGACGAGGCCAATGCCCGGGGAGAGGTCAGCGGGCGGGGTCAGCTCGGGGCGGGGGGGACATGGCGGAGCTTGGGAGGTGCCAGTCGGCAGTCCTTTGGCTGGGCTCCGTAGGGGCAGGTCTGCAAATGCAGAATGCGGACAGAAACCGTTGGTGGGTGGGGTGGGCTGTGGTGTCAATAGGAGGAGTCAAAGAGAGGGCGAGGGCGTGTGGGTGTGACTTGAAGAAACGTGAGTAGCTGAGACGTTACAGTGAACCGGCTATCGCGGGGAGTTGAGAAGGAGAAAGGGTTAGCCAGCTGTGGAAGAAAAGGGAGTTGACGTCAGAGGGCAGCTCTTCATCGGATTGTAGAGTAGTAGCACTACCCAATCAAACATAATGGAGTCGGGTCGGTAATTCTTAATTTTCTAATCTCCACTTTGTAAACCTTAAAAGGGTGCAGACAGGTAAAATTCGTTTTCATAATACCATTTGTTCCACCCAGTAAGTAAAACATATCATTTCAAATTCCAATCAATATAAAATAAATTCTTAATGAGAAGTTTTTATTCTTTTTTGTACTACATCTTCAAAAGCAGGCATGAATTTTACACCACGTCTTAATTTAGATTAGCCACATTGCAAGTATTCAGTAGTCACGCATGGCTAGTAGGAAGAGAATTATGGGAAGGCAGATCAGGAGCCCCACTCGTGTATCAGCCACTTTTGAGATGATTGGTGACCTTCAAGCCACCCAGGTGCCAGGGTAGCTTTCCCTGACTTTGCTGTCACTTCTTGCCCCCAGAGGGCTAGATTTGTGCCAAGAGCCCAAAAGATGCATTCGTGGAGAGGAGTCTGCTCCAGTGAGGAGCAGAAGAACACTGGGGAGGGCCTTGGGCCCCACTCCATCAGGCTCCATCTTCACAGGCAGTGGCAGTGCACTGTGCCCTGGGCTTTGGCCGCACTGGCACCATGCTGGCCTGTTACCTCGTGAAGGAACGTGGCTTGGCTGCAGGAGACGCCATCGCTGAAATACGGCGCCTTCGACCCGGCTCCATCGAGACCCATGAGCAAGAGAAAGCCGTTTTCCAGTTCTACCAACGAACCAAATAAGGAACCTCAGTACCTTTTCTGCCTGACTTGTGTGGTCCGTGGGACCAGATAAACTGAAGCAAGTTGGCTCCAAAGACTGAAGGAGCCATCTATTGACAGGCCCTGCTTGGCAGAATGGCTGGGCCCCATTGATGTGCAGGGAGGGTGGGGAGGGGAAGTCCCTCTGCTGCTGCCTTAAATAAATAATTTATAAGAACCAGCTCACAGCTGCATAGCACTTGACTTGTTTACTGAGCACATTCAAGTAACACCTGATTTCATCTTCTCCTGGTGTGGCACAATAGGATAAGCACTGGATCACAAGGTCGGTGGTTCAAACTCACCAGCCACACCTCAGAAGCCCTATACAGGGCTTTAAAGGTGCAGTGGTGAAAGCACTTTGCGATTAACCAAGTTTGAGTCTGCCAGCCACTCTGCGGAAGAAAGATGAAGCTGTGTGCTTCTGTAACAGTATGCAGCCCTGGAAACCCCATGGAACAGTTCTGCTCTATCCTGAAGGGTCACTGTGATTCCAAACTGACTTGATGGCAGTGGATTTCCTTTGTGTGTCAACTCTGAGAGATTCTTTCTCCTGAGTCCCACCTAGTCTACCCAGGTGAGCACAATTCCCAAAGGAAAATGCAAGCCAGTTGTCATCGAGTTGCTGCTGACTCATGGCAAACTTATATATCTCAAAGCAGAGCTATGTTCCCCAGGGTTTTCAATGGCTGATATTTTTTTCAGAGATATATCGCCAGGTCTTTCTTCCAAGGCACATCTGAGTGTGCTGTAACCACCAACCTTTCAGTTAGCACCCAAGCACCATTAACTCTTTGCACCACTCAGGAACTCCTGCCAAAGAGAAGAAACGTCTAATTCCAGGGATTCAGGCTGCAAAAGAAGTATGAGAAATAGTAAGCAGAGGGGAAACACTGAAACTTCCCACTGAAAGCTCCATCCCCCTGCCTGCCCCACCTCTTCATCTCCCAGTAGCATGGTCCCATTCTGTTTTATTATTATTATATAAAAGTACAAATGATAACATTTGACAATTCAACATTGTTCACTGGTGCAATTCAATGAAACCAATCATGTTGTACAACCATCATCAACATCCGTAGCCTTATTTTCCATCCATTCCCATAAACAGAAACTCAGTACTAGCTAAATAAAGATTTCTCTTTCCCTTGCCCTCCAACCCTGCTATTTCCTGATGTAAACCAGAGCATCTACCCCCAAAGATGTGTGTGTATGTTTTCATCTGAAGAAAATGGGACCAGAAGGACATGAATGGCCCACGTCATGGACCTCCTTTCCCTCCATTCTAATGACTTATAAGAATGAGGAGAAAGAGATTTGAGGCTTAAAGTTCAAGTCTCTGCTCTGATCTGAACTTGAGGATTGTACAAAAGGAGCTCTCGAAGCGTAGTGGTTACGAATCGGGCTGCGAACCTTAAGGTCAGCAGTTTGAAACTGCCAGCTGTTCTGCGGGAGAAAGATGAGGCTTTCTGCTCCCATAAAGATTTACAGCCTCAGAAACCCTGTACAGGGTCGCTATGAGTTGGAACCGACTCCATGGCACATAACCACCATCTTCTTCTACATCTTCCTCACATCCTTTGCCTTTCCTTCCCCTCAAGACTCCTTCATGGGAGACAAAATTCTTCTAACCTCTTGAAATCCCTGTGTGCAGCTTCCAGCCCCATAATTTAAGCAGATCTCCTATGCCTAAACAGTTCCTTAGGGAAATAAGCATATAATTATGTGCTCAAGGGAATCCATTTTTAAGTAAGTAACCCTTCAAGTGATAAACTCTGTCCTTAACCCTCCATCTACTTTGGGAGGTAGCTTGTCACAGCCCCTCTCCATTCTCTCCCACACAGAGATGCTGGGTGGGAAGAACAAGCCACCTCCATTTACAGAGAACCTTCACACCTCACCAGACCAAGCTTTCTCAACCTCAGCTCTATTGAGGTTTGGGTTGAATGATCCTTTGTTATAGGGGCTGTGCTGTGCATTGTAAGATGGTTAGCAGCATCTCTGGCCTCAACCCACACACATAATGGTAGTGACAACCAAAAATATCTCTAGATATTGCCACATGTCTCTTGTCAAGACAAAATTGCCCCTTGCTGAGAACCACTATATCACACCAACAAGCATAGTCCTTCATTTCCTGTCGGAGTGTTGATGTTAAGGGCTGTCAGGCCTAACTCAGCAATCCTGCTGTTAGCAGCCTAGTGTTTATCCTACAGCACCACACCAGGACACCACCATACCCTGTCCCCATAGGAGTCATCGTTATGGTTAAGTTTCATTGTGTCAGTTCCAACTCAGTGACCCTATAGCAGTGGAGGTTGCAAAATACTTGGGAATTTCTTCCTTCCTTGGGTACACACATTTTCAGAGTTTGGGCCAGCTCCAACACAGTTTCCTTTTCAAGCATTCATTGGCTAGCACCCCACCTCAGTTGCTTACTTTTTCCCAGGTTGAGTCTCCAAGATAGAGATGATACCATTAACTCTCTGTATTCTGAATTGTAGTCTCAATGAATTGCTGGTAGGCATAACTGCAGCGCCATCCATTTCCATTAGCAGTTTGTTTTGTTTCTGTTGCTTGTTTTTTTTAATTTATATTCATATTTATTCTTAGGTGCTGAATATGGAAAGTATTCTTTATATCATCTGGGCTTTGTACTCATCATCTCTTTGATTCCTATCCCCTGGAAATTGTTCGGTTGACAAGAGAAACCGCAGCCCAATTCCTTTGAGAAGTTTCATCTCTGGCCTGGGTCTACCACCTCCACTTTGCCTGCAGGACTCCCTGTGTATTTCTTTGGCTCTCTGGGTTCTAGGTTCTATGACTGTCTCAAAACCTGTTTCCCAGCACAGGGATCCCTGCTACAGAGAGGAATACAGTTGGGACATACACACTGCTGGGTGCCCCGCCCCCTAGACCTATATTCTGTCATCACAGTCCCTGACCTTGCCCTTCACAGCTGTCCATAGCATGTAAGGATCCTGTTCCACAGAGCAGCTCATCACTGCCTCCCCTGGCTAAGAGGGTCTGTTCTTCATGCACTGCTTGGGTTATACACACCCTTGTACCTGCCCCACATCATCCCGCAGACCAGAGCATCCCAGTGCAATGATGAGCATGCATCCCAGGACAGAGATTTGATCCAAAGCATTTCCCAGAATGAACTGCATCCATTTGCCAAAATCATATGAAAACTTCTGGTGTCTTTCTTGCCATTCTTTCTGAGAAGAAAAAGAATTTGGTCACAGGATTGTTTTGTTACAAAACTATGTCAGTTACCACTGATACATTTCATACTTTCTCATGACTATACTTGGCTTCCTTATATGATTAAACTGTCATCATTTGTGAAGCCCTGCCATGTAGCAGATGTTCTGCATACATTGCATTATATCACTGTATCCTCGTAACAGTTTTGCAAGTTAGGCGTTTTCCCCTTTTTATAGATGAGGGGATTGAGATTCAGAGAGATGAACAATTTGCTCAAAGCCATACACTTGTATTGAAGGAGCTGAGATACAAGCCCAAGTCTCATTTCAGAGTTCACACTCCTTCACCCAACATCCTGCCAGCCAAGACCTTCCTCTGGTTCTAGGGTCACCCTGAGGAATTCGCCTTACTGATTAGGCCATTCTATGTGTCACCCTTCTGACCACCACTGTCTTCGTTGTCACTGAAAGCCAAAGGACCACTCTCCACTTGGCGGGGAAGAAAATAGCACTTGAATGACATGCACCTCTTTACCATGCAGCTCACACGGTGAAGCTGATTCACATGGTACTTCTGTTTCATCCACTACTAGTAAATTGTTGTTGTTGTTGTTGTTGTTGTTATGTGCTGCCAAGTCTGTTCTGACTCATAGCACCCCGGTACAGGGTTTCCAAGGACTGGCTGGTGAATTTGAACCACAGATCTCGTGGTTCAAACCGAACTTGAGGTCTAGTGCATTATCTTGCAGCATCATACCAGGCCTCCATTGGTTAATTACAGCATGTGAATTTCCTGGACCAACATACAAGGCTTGAGGTCTGTCTGGCCTCAAGGCCACCCAAAAAAATGTCTCTCTTGTCTGATGATGTACTAAAAATTGTAATTTCCTTACTGGTTTTGCTTTTTGTTTCTGTGGGTTTTGTTTGTTTGTTTTGAGCCCTGAATGTATGCTAGGCTATATCAAGTGCTTTATATAAATTAGATTTCCTTAGGTGGAGCAAGCAGTAAAGTGGCAGGCTACTAACCAAAAGTTTAAGCAGTTCTAATCCACCCAGAGGGCCTTCAGAAGAAAGACCTGTATATTTACTTTCAAAATAGCACATAATACATGAAAACCCTGTGGAGCACAGTTCTACTCTGACACACATGGGGTTGCCATGACTTGAAGTTGATTCAACAGTGGTGAATTATTATTACTTTTTTTACATACACTCTCTCATTTCTTTACACTGAGGTGTAATCCATATTAAAGATTGTAGTCTTTGATCTTCATAAGCAAGTATTTCAAGTCCTTTTCACTTCTGGCAAGCAAGGTTGTACCTAATGTGAAAAGAAAAAAAAACCCTGAAAATCCTCACAACTAGCCAAATTAATAACATCATGATAAATGGAGAAAAGATTGAAGTTGTCAACAGCTTCATTTTGCTTGGATCCATCATCAACATTCATTGAGGCAGCAGCCAAGAATTCAAAAGACAGCATATATTAAGCAAATCTGTTACACAAGACCTCTTTAAAGTATTAAAGAGCAAAGATGTCAGTTTGAGTACTAAGATGAGTCTGACCCAAGCCATGGTATTTTCAGTAACTTCATATTCAATGTTGGACAATGAATAAGGAAGACTGTAGAAAAATCAAATTGCACTTGAATTATGGTGTTAGCGTATCCATCTTGGAAAAAAGTGCAGCCAGACTGTTCTGTAGAAGCAAGGATGGCAAGACTTTGTCTCTCATCATTTAGATCTGTTGTCAGGAAGGATTGGTCGCTGGGG